TACATATTACACAGAATTGTTTACAGTGCCTGCTTTTACATTCCCTCAGAAACATCTATAAGTAGGTAGTTCATATGAGGCAGCCACTCATCACCATTACTACGTGATTTAGAAACATATGGTGTAGCTCTGCCATGCCAGCTTCTAGGTATTCACTCTAGCATTCTGACAAAAAAAGAGAAAGAAAAAGCTCAGAACTGTTTCTCAAATTATCATTTCTCATCTGTTAAAACATACATCGTAACAACCTGATGACTAGGTTTCTGTTGTGGTCGTAAACTATCATTACCAACATGCTATATTTAGATTTATGGTAGTACAAGGCAAGTATACCTACAAATGATAACATATTGAAATTCAGCAGGACCCTGTGCAGTTTCTGGGTATAAATCCTTCCTGTGTTCACCCGTTTCTTTCTTGTAGGAAATAGACTTTATGTAACCTCCAGGACCTCCCCTGTGTTCCAAAGAGCAGGTTCAAACCCGCGCTGATCAGAAAAGGGAGGGGATGCAGAGACAAGGGAGCTGCAGTCAAGAAATGATGGAGCCTTGCTTGGGTCACAGGTACTGGTCCCTCCTCAAGGAATGTATCGATGGCATGGCTCAGTGGTGAAGAATCCACTTGCCAATGAAGGAGACGTGGGTTCGACTCCTCATCCAAGAAGACCCCCTGGAGAAGGAAACGGCAACCCACTCCAGTATTCTTGCCTGGGAAATCCCGTGAACAGAGGAGCCTGGTGGGCTACACTCCATAGGGTCTCAAAGAGTTAGACACAATTGAACACATACGCAGGCAACACTATCTCTGAGCTCTTTTGGAGAACTAAAGCCCCCACCCGGGGAGGGGAATGGCAACTTCAGGCTAAGGCAAGATTCCCAGAGCACCACCCAGTTAACTTGTCACCAACCAATCAGAGGAAAGGCACACAGTCTGCAGCCTTCACCCTAAATTCTGCCTAAAAACCTTTTCCAAAGCCATCGGTGAGTTCAGGGGTTTTGAGCTCGAGCCACTGGTTCTCCTTGGTTGGCCCTGCAATAAACCTTTCTCTGCTCCAAACTCCGACATTTGATTTATTTGACTTCACTGTACATCAGGCACATGACCCTATTTGCTAACAATATTTTCACATAGTTTGTTTCAAATCCCTTCTTTTAACTGGGAAGATTTTTTGAAAACCTAGGCATTCTCTTTCCCAGTAAAAGTGAAGCCTAAGTAATTAACTATCAGAATGGTCCAGCAATGGCATCTTTTCCCTCTGTTCTTTCTCAATTGTTCTTTTGGGCTAATTTTTTTTTTCAGCTCAAAGTTTATAGAAAGACTGACAACAGTCTGCTGCTCAGATTTACCAGCTAATAGCCGTCTCTCTCCTTCATGAGTGAAAGCCACTCAGTCATGCCCAACTCTTTGTGATCCCATGGACTGTAGCCTGCCAGACTCCTCTGTCCATGGGATTCTCCAAGCAAGAATACTGGAGTGGGTAGCGGTTCCCTTCTCCAGGTGATCTTCCCAACCCAGGGATCGAACTAGGGTCTCCTACATTGCAGATGGCTTTTTTACCAGCTGAGCTACCAGGGAAGCCCTTTCTCTCCTTCATACTCTTTATGAAATTAGTTCTTAAAGGATTATTTTCCCCATATTGATTTTTTTGGTTAAGTGTTCAAAGTGGAAGGGGCAGGCCTCTCTCAACTTAAATAGAAATAATCCTGAGTCAAGAAGTACACTAGACATGTTGTCAGGATGCTAGCCTTCTATTTTTCATTTAGAATACTTCTGGCCAGTGTTGCATATTAAAAAGATAGGATTTGAAATCAGAGAACCCCATGCCTAAATTCCCACTCTCTCATCTGTCTATATAGCACTTTACACAAATTAGAAAAGCCTCATTGAGTCTCAGTTTTCTTTTCTAAAGATGGGGATGGTAATCATTACTGCTAACTAAAATCTCTCATTTATTTAAATGTCCTTAGTTTTTACCTAACTTCCTATTTCTGTTCTTAGATCATTTTAAGTTCTCTTCATAATTCCTACATTGTTAATTATTAGAAGAATATAAAATGATCTAAGGATGGAAATAGGAAGTTAAGTAAAAACTAAGGACATTTAAATAAATAACAGATTTTAGTAAAGAATGTATAGCTAGTGGTTCTTTAATTGTACTACAAGTACCCATACTACTATAAGATAATTATAGAGGAAAACTGTCTGGGTTGTATGGGAACTCTATACTATTTTCTCAACTTTTCAGTAAATCTAAGACTCTCCTTAAAAGAAGTCCACTTTTAAAAAATGACTTAAAGTAAGTGCCCTGCACTCAATAAGTACTTAAAAAACAGTAGCCAATGTTACTATTATCAAGTAAACTATTTGGTTTCCTGAAGTTTATTAAACTCTATATAATATGGTCTTCCTCCACCCCAACTTTATTGAGATATAATTGACACACAACACTGTGTAACTTTAAGGTATACAGCACAATGATTTGACAGTATGATCTTTCCTTTTCCCCAATTTAGCAATTGCTTTTCATAAGCAGTTCTCTCTGCCCCAGCCATTATCACTCTATTCCCTTTCTCTACATCATTTTTCCTCTTTTTCTAGTTTATCCATTTCTATTCTACAATCTTATGTTTACTTTACAACTAGTTTTTATTTCCCCAAGATGAATTCAATCTTATTTCTTGGCTTTAAATTTTGCCACCATGATTATGCAAACTTTTACTTTTAATGACTGCTCTTTAAAAAATAAAAATCAAAGTTCAAGCTTTCTACTTAGAGAAAAATAGCAGAACAGTTTTTTTCCAAAAAGGCACCAAACACAAAGATATAGTAATGGGGAAAGCATTTTTTTTTTTTTTTGTAATAAAGAGATAGATATTCAACGTACCATATAGACAGCAGCCCAGAGGCAGCTTTGCCGGGATATGTATTTAGTCTGCTGCAACAACTAACAATAGTTTGACCAAATGCCAGTGTTATCAATCTGTCCTGGAGTCCCTCTGATATTAAGGTCATGTGTAAAAACACACCTTACTTGTCCCTCAACCAGAGTTTTGAATGGATCTGGGTAAAACATACCAGATCAGATCAGAAAAACCAGCCTCGTGACGCTCTTTCTCAGGTGGCTGAAGCTTCTGTTTAGAAGACCTGGGTCTTTATGAGAGTGGATTTGTTTTCCCACTCTGCTACTGCAGCCTGTATTTGAAGGACAGAGCTAGACAGCCTTTTGACTGATAAAGGGAAGTTTGTTTCTTAACTTTTCTTTAAGTGACAACAGCTTTTCATTGACAAAGGAACAGGACATCTTTAGTGGGTGCCATTATTAAAGGGAGAGATTTTGGAGATGGAATTTCCCCTGCTATAAAGACACAATTACCGAAATAATTTCGACCTGAAGCTTGAAATACCAGGCCCTGTGAACCCAAGCCTCAACCTTAAAAGACTATCCAAAAACTTTTATGGTTCTGAAAATACTTTTGCTCTAGGATAGTTCAAAATACACATGGAAAAAGCAAGGAACCACTGATGAGGGGGTGGGGCAGGGGGATTAAGCAAGGAGTGTGTAGCCCACCTGTTCTTTCTCAACCAGGAAATGAATTTTATCTTTAATAAAACTGATAACCAAGCTTGTGATAGCTGAAATAAATCATCACTTCTGGGTGGTTTGTGTACATATACATGCAAAACAAACAGAGAAATCTGTGCTAACTCAAGATAAGGCTGGATAAATATAGGAAAACCTAACACTCTACTCCAGGCAACATATAAATCAGTCTTAAATGGCAACAACCCAGAAATCCTCTATTTTAAGAAACTGGTCTCAGTAAACTCTGAGAGGGTTAGAGCTGGCTTTAAACGCCCCTCACACAGCCCCTTTGCGGGCTTCACTGACTTCTGGTAGTTCAGCTATGGCAGACTCATCTAAAAGACAGAATGAGATGCTAACTTGCTTCACAACTCACTCCAGCTGAGTACCTGACTCCTCTTCTGGTCCACTACCCTCGACCTGCATTAACTAACCCCTCCTTTCTCTGGCTGGAGAACAGCTGATAGAAATAGGCACTTTTTTCACATCAAAGGCAGCCCGGAACCGCCTTAGCCTTACCCCAACCTCAGACACAAAAAGCTTTTTGATGCTTATAATTGCAAGGCTTTTTCCAGCTGCACTTTATCAAGCTAGTAGTGGCAGGGCTTGGAGGGCCTAGGAGAACCAGAAGGTGGCGGCGAAGTCACCTTGGGAAAAGAAGGGGGTCAAAGGGAGAAAGACAGAGGGGCTGACCCAGGGAGAAGGAGCAGGTGCGCCTGCCCCTGCTCTGGGGTGAGTGAGCAAGGGCAAGGGAGATGGGAAGGAAACCCGGCCAGAGTGAGGCGGTGTCCCAAGGACCCCCAAGTCGACCCTAGTCTGTGATCATCTGACCCGGGTGGAGGGAGGAGGGTGCCCTTCGCAGTGTCACGGAAAGCTTCGCCTTCTGGGCTCGCTTTCTCCCGCCTGCCCCTGCGGTGTCTCTCTGCCGCGGTCAGCCTGAGCGCGGCTCGGAGGCGCTCTACTTGCTCGGTACCGGAGCCCCCACCTACCGGGAGCCCCTGCCCTCCCAGCGCACGCCCAGGAGGGCGGGCCGGGAGTTGAGCGCAGCCCCCGGCCGCTCGAGAGTGCTGGGAGCCCTGCAAGCGAGCCAGGCCTCTCTGGGCGCCGCCGGCTGCAAGTCACTCTCCGAACCTCCCGGGCCACAAAGCAGAACTTGCCCGCCTCGCTCCCCAGCAGGGAGGCCCAGGCACAGGGTGTGCGCTCCAGGCCCTTTTCTGGTCCTGGGCCGCTCCTGGTGCGCCCCGGGCTGGGCTAGGCGAGGCCCGGCGGCGGAGAGGGGGGCCTTGTAACCCCTTCCCCGGGGCGCGGTCTCCTCCTCCAGCTCCTCCTCGCCAGCTGCGCCGCCAGCTCCCATTGTTCGCCCCGCCCGCCTGGCAACGTCCGGGCGCTACTCGCAGGGCCTCCCAGGCGCACCTACCTTCTGCTGCCGGCGAGCCATGTCGGTGGGCTGCTTGGCGTTGAAGGGGTAGGCGATGCAGCGCATCACGAACACGTAGAGCTGCAACCTCTTCTTCCTCTCCTCCTCTTCCTTCTGCAGCCGCTCCAACTCCTCCTTCTCCTTCTCGCTCACCACCGACGGGCTAGGGCTGGAGGGTCGGCCGCCACCGGCGCGGCTGCTCGGCTGCAGCCCCCCGGCCCCGCCGCCGCCGCTCGCGCCGCTGCCCCCGCCGCCGCCGGCGCCCATCCCGGCCCCGGCGCCGGCCCCGCCGCCGCCCCCAAGCCCTGCGCCGCCGCCCGAGCCCTCGCTCGTGCGGCTGGGAGACAGGCGCGCGCCGGACGCGGCCGAGCCCAGCACCTCCTTGCCGCTCTCCTCCTCCACGATCTCATCCGATTCCTCCTCGCTGGATGAAGGGTCCAGCATGGTTGCGCCTGGGGAGGGGGGGTCCCTGGAGCCCCTGGCTTGGGGTGCAAAAGGTGGGGGGCGCTGGAGGCAGCTGGGGGTCGGCTCTCCCGGCTGGCCGCTTCTCCCCAAATCAGGGAGCAAGCGCGCTGCTGCTCAGCCTCAGCGACTGCTTCCTCCTCTCGGCGTTCGGGAGCTGGGCTCTAACCAGGAGCACGAGGGGAGGAGGGGAGGGGAGAGGCGCGTCCGTGGACCCAAAGTGGGCAAAGGAGGGAGTCAATTGCGAGCCCCGAGCCCAGAGCAGAATGCCATCTGCAGCCGCTGAAGGAGGCGCCTCCAGAAAAGATGCCGAGTGTTGCAAGCTGTCGATGCAGCCTAGAGCCGGAGAGGCATCTTGCCGATTGGGGAGGGAGCGGCGCTTACGTGTTTATTGGCTTAACTCTCCCGTGTCCGCAGCATAAAGGGCGGCTGCAGCGGGCTGGAGCCGGAAGACCGCGGAGCGTCCCCAAAGTCTCAGAGCTTCCGTAGTGACCCCAATGCTTTCTCGTCCTCCTCACTCCCACCCCGCGGTGGCTAATTTCCCCCTTGATGCCCAGCCCTCCTGGTTTCAACCTCTCTCCCCGTCCCGCGAACAAAAAGTTCTTGGGAGAGGAGGAAATAGATCAATCAGTGATGACTTTTTGTCAGCTGTTGGACACTGAATTCAGAGATCTCACTGAGACGAAGTCGCCGAGATGTTATACACAAAAGAAAGGCTATTTCTTATAACCAGCTTTCCTCACACTTTCCTCACCAAACAGCCTGTTTGTCCCACCTGTGTAAACTCCAACGCCAGCGGTTTACTTTACATACACCCAACCGTGAAGAAAAGATTTTGAGCGGACTGATGTATCCACCATGCAGCTCAACTCTTTAAGTAGAACCCCCGCCCCTGCCTACTCTGCATTCTTCATTTCCAAGAATTGGTAATACTTTATGTTGAGGTGAGCCTACCATGGAAATAGAAGGGTTTCTTGTTGCTCAGCCCTTCCTCCATTCTGGCTCGCTGGAGTATCTGGGTGGAGGGTTGGGGACCCCAAAATCAGATAAGGATACTCTAATAACTGAGCGCAGCAACATCGAATGCGTTGACTGTCGCGCTGTGTTCCTTCCTGCTTCTCCCTTATCTATTAATTCAAAGCAGCAGATGGTGCCTTCCTTCCCCCGGCTCCTTTCACTTAAGCCAATAAACCCAGCGAACGGGGGAGCTGGCCAGCGTGCTGAATCTAATCAGCGACCCACAGATGGATTGAAAACAAACCAACACTCTTCACCTTTTGATCTTCGGCTATCCAGAGACCTCTCTTGGCCTTCCCTCACCCCATTTATGTAGTTTCAATGCTCTAATTACTCGTAGATATTCGTGGGAGTTATTGTTGAAGTGTACTGTGAATTTAAAGTTTGTATCACATCTGTCTTTATGTATTTTAAAATTTACTATGACTATCAATAGTGTAGGCTTTGATAGTCAAAGGAAGTTTTAGCACCTTTTCACAAAGTGAACACTGTTCTAGGTGCTTGGAGTAGGTGAAATTTTTAGAAGACATCCTCTTAAAGAGTCTATAATCCCCTTTGGAGATACAACACAAACACATGAAAAAGATTGACAGTGCTTATTTCAAGGCAACATATAAACAAATCCAAGTTAGTAAACTGCTAAAAGCTTGCTTGAATGAAGCAACTAGGAATGGAAGAGAATCATATGTTTCTGTAAAAAGAGACTTAAATTTTAAAGAAAGGAACCATATGACTGAATGGTGGAAAGGGAAGATATTATAAGTAGAAAGAGCAATTTGCAAAGCCATGGTGATAGGACAGAGGACCAAGTAAGGTACAGAGTGTAATGCAGGCAGTGTGTGGGTAGGAAATGGGAAGTGAGGAGGAAAAAAAGTTGAAATAATCATCCAACTGCCCAAATTGTGGGGGTGGGGGTGGCAGTGGTCATCTTTGGGACACAAAGAAATAAATGGCTAGCTAACGAGCATGTGACTTCTGCACAGAAGGCAAGACAAAGTCATTTACTAATTAAATATTTTTAAGCAAGATAAGGCATTTGAGTATTATCACATTATGCACTGGTAGAAGCGTGACCATGAACTGTCTTTAAAACCATTTGGAATTTCTCAATCACTGTAATAAATTTTTGTAGTTTTGTATTTTTAACAATGTATTTCATTAAAACATAAACTCAGTATCTACCTTTTGTTACTCATATAAGCCTGTGATTTGGCTATTAAATATGACATTGCTTAGATAAATTTAACACTCTTCTCAACACACCCATGAGTGTTCAAAGGAGACAAACAGATTTTACAGGAAATATTTTTATAATTTTTTTTTCCAAAATGTACATCTTGGGACTTTCCTGGTGGTTCAGTGGTTAAGACTGCACTTCCGCTGCAGGAGACGTGTATTCAACCACTGGCTGGGGAACTAAGATCCCACGTGCTCTGTGACAAGGCCACACACACACACAAAGTACATCCTTTCAAAGATATTTTTTACCTTAGCTGAAAGTTAAATGTCCTTGCAGAAATAACTTTTTTTTTCTGCTGAGGATAAGATATCCCAATCTGAACTCCTTAGGCATCTAAACTAGAAACTGTGGCTTTCCTAGATGCAAATTTTGATGAAAAAGGAAGAAAATTATCCCAGAACACATCCAAAGGATCTTAATTATTGTCTACCTTTTGTTAACATCCATATTCTTCTTTTTAAAAGTACAATTCTACCATAGATTCTGATACACATCAGTATTTATATCCTCAAACAAGCTATTTTAGGTGTTGCATGCTTGCCCCCACCTCCAGTTCTGCTTTGTAGGAAACTTGAATTCCATCCTTAAGGTGATGGAATAAATTTTAGTCAGCCATCTGGAGACCATATCATGAAAGTAGAAGTTATAACAGTGAATTTTTTTAATCCCAGCAAAATCTAGAGGAAATGGAAATGACTGAGACATTAAACTAGGGTTTTATCATCTGGACCTTGATTATTTCTAGACCTCATTCTCCACTGAAGTGTTCATTATGATTGCATAAAAAGTCACAAGTATGAAAGAATAGCTGACTCACTGGCAATCAACAGATACCTTGGTGAAAAACCATCACTTCTTTTTGTCACTCATATAACATGTTTCAATCAAATAAGCCTGAGTTCAATGCCCATCTTAATGATTTTCTGTGTTTGTTACTAGAGGATAGTTTAGCCAAATTAAATATATATTTTAAAAATCTCACAATAAATTTCATCCATCTAATCATCTCATCCAATCAATATATATATTTTTAAATTTAAGAATAGACAGAAACACCAAAAAGGATAAATTTGAACCTTATGGTATGTCTAAATTCAAGTTAAGTGCTTGGGATCTGGACCCAGGCAGTTCTGCCTTTGCCACTTAACAGAAGAGTTACCTGAGAAAATTGTTCAGTGACTCAGACTTGGTTTCCTCATATATAAAATGAGGGACAGTAGTACTAACTCACCTTAGAATGACAAGAAAATCAAATTGAATAGTATAAAAAAAGTATTTTTCAACAGACTTTAGGTTTAAGCCTTTTTTTCCACTAAAAGGAGATGGACTTTGTTCCGCTAAAAGGAAAAGGACTTCATTTTATTTATAAATGAAGTAACATTGAACATGAATAACTGAAAGGAAAAACAACACTAAAAAATTAAATAACCCAACTTTCTCACACTATATTAAAAAATAAAGTAAAAAAGAATTAAAGACTTAATATAAATTAAACCATAAAACTCCTAGAAGAAAACATAGAGGATGTTCACTTTGACACTAACCCTAGAATACTTTGGGGGGTATGTCGCCTCAGGTAAGGGAAACAAAAGCAAAAATAAATAAATGAGAAAAACGGCATCTGACCAAAAGCTTTTGCACAGGTAAGGAAACTATGAAGAAAATGAAAAGGCCACCTACTGAATGGGAAAAGATATTTGCAAATGATATGTCTGATAATGGCTTAATATCCAAAATATATAGAGAACTCATACAACTCAACATTTAAAAAAAAAAAAAAGATTTAAAAAATGGAGAGGGGGGTTCCTTGATGGCTCAGTAGTAAAGAATCTGCCTGCCAATGCAGGAGACATGACTTTGATGCCTGGGTCAGGAAGATCCCACATATCAGGGAACAATTAAGCCTGTGCATCACAACACTTGAGCCTGTGCTCTAGAGCCGAAAAGCACAACTACTGAAGTCGGAGAGCCCTAGACCCAGTCTCTGCAACAAGAAACCACCACAATGCAAAGCCTGGACACAGCAATGAAGAGCAGCCCCTGCTCACTGCAACTAGAGAAAAGCCTGTGCTGCAAAGAAGAACCAGTAAGCCAAATAAATAAATATCATTTTAAAAATAGGCAGAGAACCTGAAAAGATATTTTTCCAAAGAGGACATACAGATGGCCAAGAGGCACATGAAAAAATGCTCAACATCACTAATTTTCAGAGAAATGCAAATCAAAACCACAGTGTCAAACCTATCAGAATGGCTAGTATCAAAAAGGCAACAAATAACAAGGGTTGGCAAAGATGTGGAGAAAAGGGAACACCTGTGCACTGTTAGTGGAAATGTAAATTAATGCAGTCACTATGGGAAAACAGGGTGCTGCTGCTGCTGCTGCTAAGTCGCTTCAGTCGTGTCTGACTCTGTGCGACTCCAGAGATGGCAGCCCACCAGGCTCCACTGTCCCTGGGATTCTCCAGGCAAGAACACCGGAGTGGGTTGCCATTGCCTTCTCTGCTAAAACAGGGTGGAAATTCTTCAAAAAATTAAAAATAGAACTACCATATCATCTAGTTATTTAACCCCTAGGCATTTATCTGAAGAAGGCAAAAACTCTAATTCAAAAAGATATGTGTACCCCTATGTTCGTTGCAGCATTATTGACAGCAACCAAGATGAGGAAGCAACCTAAGTGCTCATTGATAGATGAATAGATAAAGGAGACTTGGTATATATAC